CGATTCATTCCAAAATTGACTTGCACATGATCGACACGCTGGGAGCGGTCATTCGAAGATATTTTCAAGCTGGCAGTGCGAAGGAGCGCGACAGCCGGCTTATGGCCAAGACCTTTGATCTCAAGAGTGCCTACAGACAGGTGCCCACACAGAGCCAGCACCTAAAGTATGCCTTTTTCAGCATCTACAACTGTGAAGAGGGGAAACCCGAGATCTACCAACTGCTGACCCTGCCTTTTGGGGCCACGCACTCGGTTTATTCCTTCCTTCGACTGGCGAGACTCATTCACAGTATTGCTGCTCGAGGTTTGTATGTCCTCAACACGAACTTTTACGACGATTTCGTGTTGTTATCCAAACCTGAGAGTTGCAAGTCAGCAAACCTGGCTATGGAGGTCTTGTTTATGCTGACTGGTTGGGAATTTGCTCGTGATGGAAAGAAGGCAACACTTTTTGAGACCACCTGCAAGGCACTTGGAGTGGAATTTAATTTGAGCAGATCAGAGCAAAGGATTGTCCAAATCTACAACACCGAGCAGAGAAGGCTTGATCTTGTTTCTAGGATCTCTGAGGTTTTGCTTGATGGACAGCTGTCAAAACATGAGACACTCGTGCTGAAGGGGCGCTTGGGCTTTGCTGACAGCTTCCTACATGGCAGGCTTGGAAAGATACTCCTAAAGAAGCTGCTTGAGCATGCCTACTCGCGCCAGAGGACTTTGGACGAGAGCACCAAACATGCTCTACTGGCCATGAAGACAAGGCTTGAAGCAGGACACCCTGTCCAGATCTCGGACCAGGAACTCCTGCAGTGGTTCATCTACACCGATGCTGCATACAACATGGAAGAGAAAACTGGTGGCGTAGGTGGAGTTTTGGTTGACCAATCTGGAACCTGTATACAATGGTTTGGTTTTCCTCTCGATGAAGAAATGTGCAAGACGTTCGGTTGCCAAACAAAACAGTCAATTATTTATGAGCTTGAGTTGGTAGCTGCAGTACATGCTCTTTCTTATTGGGGTGACCATCTGGCGGGCAACCTGACCACATGGTTCGGAGACAATGACAGTGTGAGATATGCGTTAATTAGAGGAACTGCCATCGGGCCTTGCGGTGAAGTGATCATGAAGTTTCATCTTGAGAAGGAAGCAAGCATGCACTCATGTGCTTGGTTTGCTCGAGTCCCGACTGAGGCAAACATTGCTGACTTCCCTTCGAGGCTTTCTGAACATCCGCTCCTCGTCCCAAAAGCAGATGTCTCCGAGAGTGCACGCCTTTGCTTTCAGAGCTTGATTTCAACGGTCGATTCGAACAGTGGCCTGCACGTTGTTGATGGGGGAGATGAGGAGCGTGCAACCCCCAGTTCGAAAAAGAAGCGCCTGATTGCTTAGTGGTTTGCAAGACACCAAACGGAGAGAGACGACTAAGCTCTTCGAAGAAGATCGTGTTGTCTCCATTTCGTTTTAGAAACGTGATGTTTCGGGTGTCTTGAAAAATGTTTTTCCTTCGTGACATTTTGTTTCAAGGGAGGGTGTGGCGGGCTCCGCTGACCGAACGGTCGATGCTCTGAACAGCAGAGCGGGGGGTGTGCCATGGATTTGATTGAAGTTGAAGATTTAGAGGACGATGAAGTACTGCCTGAGATTGATCCGTTGCATTTGGAAGATTTTGATTTTTCCTTTCAGCAAGACATTGAGCATTTGAACTCGATTGCTTCAGGTTTAGCTGGCAACATGTCTCAGGACCTGGCACGCCATCAATCGCCGGATTCAGGTTTTGATGCCGACCTGCTGGATGAGGCTCATGACGATGGAGTCGAGTTCATCGATCAACCTGCTCAGGAGAGTTGTGATCCCAATACAGGTACGAATGCATGCATTGTTGACAAAACAGATTGGGCACTCACTGTGAATCATGCCTTTGAACGTCACAGAGCTTTGGACCCTGCCATGAAGCTTCCGTGGGAACAACCTTCAATGCAGGGAATCTTTCACAACAGTCTGGGCCTCAACTTACCACAAGTTCATGGTATAGCCTTGGAGTTGCCTGCAACTAAGAATGAAGATAGAAATCAAATCTCGGTCAGCGGAGAAGTTGAAGCTTGTGCAGATGCCGCTTTTCTGAGTGCAGTGAAGGACATTCAGGACTTGGACTACTTTGAAAACAAACGAATGCAAACAGATTTGGCTTGTGCAAAGTGGCTTGATATCCTTTCCATGAACTGGAGTGCATCTGCCATTGGCCAACAGGTTTGTGAAGATCTCAGGAGCGATCCCACTGGAGAGTTGGCGAACGAAACCCTCAAGGCTTGTTTTGGTACAAAGAGTTATTCTACTTTGCTCAAGCGTGCAGGAAGTTTGAAACGTTTCATTCTTTGGCACAGAGACCATTACTTGGAGAGAGGTTTCAGTGTTGATGCAATACCGCTGCATGAGCCAGACGTTTGGAACTACTTCAGGCACTTGAGAGACTCCAGAATCCGTGATGCACGTGGGTACACCGGACCTGCCACTTTTCTTGAGACTGTGAGGTTCACAAAGTTTACGATTGCATTGCGAGGTGCCGACGACATCCTGGAATCTAGGAGACTGCAAGGTTTTGCAGCCATAGAAAAACGTGAGAAGGGGCCCACTCATCAGGCCCCTCCTATGGAGCTTGAACATTTGAGGCGTCTTCATTCGGTGTTGTTGGGTGCCGATAGCATTGTGGACAAGGTTGGGGCAGGTTGCATGCTTTTGTGTACATATGCTCGAGCACGCTGGAGTGATCTACGCTTCATTCATCATGTTGAGATTGAGAGCAAGAGGAATGGATGTTTGGTTTTGTACACAACTGAGCATAAGACTTCTGCTGTCGGTGAAAAGAAAGAGCAATACCTGCCCTTTGTTGTTCCTTGGGATGGAGTGACAAACGAAAACTGGCTGCAGACTTTCCTGGATCTTTACCAACAGGTTGGGCTAAATATTCACAAGGTACCGCTGGGTCCTCTTCTTCCTGCACCTAGATCCGGTGGTGGATTCTGCGCACGGCCCTTGACCACGTCCGAAGCTGCAGCCTGGTTACGAGGTCTTCTGAAGGGAACTTCAAACTGGGAATCCTTTCGCTCCCATTCCATGAAGGCTACCCTATTGGATTGGTGTGCGAGATCTGGAATGGATAAGGAAGTTCGGTCAGTGCTTGGGCATCATTGCAGTGCTGTAAGTGGTTCAGAAGTAGTGTATGCTCGTCATTTGCAAGCCAGGCCAATTCGGAAATTGATGATGCTACTTAGATTGATCAGGATTGGCATGGGCCTTGAGGAAATCGCTGACAGGGGCAACATTGCAGGTGTCACGCCGGCAGCAGGTACACCTGGACCTGGTTTTGGAATTCATGGTTGTGCAGCACGGACACCTGTGTTGCCAGTTGAGCGTGTTCAGGCAGAAGCCGACCCTGTTCAGGATGCTGTAGAGGGTGTTCAGGACCACGAAGACCAACTTAGCATCAAGGAAGAGATGAACAATGCTGCAGACGTTGCTACCTCAGCAAACAGCTTGAGCTTGTTTCCAGAAAGCATTGTTCAACTTGGTTTGATCGAGATTGACAGTTCGTCCGGCAGTGACAGTGAGTCGAGCAGCACAAGCAGCGATGAGCCGCTGGCTGAGACTTTTGAAACACGTCCTGCATACACTGAAGCAGTACCTGAAGGGTTGACCTTTTATAAGCATGTAAAAAGCTTTCGTGTGCATGCAGTCCGAAATGAACAGCAAGTGACTGTATGCAAAATGAAGATAACTGCGAATTTTCAGGAATTGGGCCGTACCTTGAACTTCAGGTATCCAAAGTGTTTGAGGTGCTTCCCAAACGATCCAGGGCGAGTGCGTAGTCGTGAGGACGCAGTTGAAGCCCTGGACAAAGCTTTAGAGAGAGTTCGGAAAGCCAGGAGAAGTGCAAGGTAACATTCTAGTTTTCTTTAACGCTTGCTAGATAAACGATCCAGCTGCTTTTCAAACTTAGTGCACTGCATTAAATCTTGCCATAAGGAATCGGGGTTGAGAAAAGGGGCCGTCCAAACGTCGACGTTTGGACGGCCCCTGTTTCAGGGCTTGCAAATGGGTTGACGTGACAACGTCTCTGAGAAACATGCAAGCGAAATTCTCACCAGCTGTGCTGTCTTGTGTGTTTTACCGCTTTGAAGCCTTCTTAACACCTAAACTAGTAAGACTGTTTCTCCTGGTTCTCAAATCTAGCACAGGCCATGTAGCCCCAAAGGGGAAGAGGCAAGTGTGCTCTAAGAGCAAGGATGCTGCACGAAGAGTGCCTCGCGCTGAAAAGAAATATGCAAAGAGCCTTCACTCTAAGGAGTCAAAGCAGTAATATTTGCCGGAGTGGCCAAAGATTGTTTGCAGAAAGCTGCTCAGCGGAGACTAAGTGCTCAAGAACTGTTTGCCGAAAGCGGTGCAGGCTCAAAGGAGCAGAATTGTAACTAGAACAAAGTTTTCATTCATGAGCTCCAAGGAGCACAACAAGACAACGCAAACAACTGTGCGAGCCTCAGACTTTTATTCTCTGGATTGGTGATGTTGTACCTTCTTTGTTAGGAGCTCTCAGGCCTATCTACCTTTTCTTTCTAGTTTCATAGAACCGAAGCATGGCAACTGTCGTTGACAGCACCGCTCATTTTGATGCACGGCTGCTGGAGAGTGGGATCTCACAGACAGTGCTGGATTCCATAAAAGCAAGCGGAGTGGATACTCTCAGTCGATTAGCATTTGCGGTAGGCCAACCGAATCAACCATTGGCCAATGACGACATCACAGGATTCTTGCAGACAGCATTGGGAAGGGCCCCATCGTTGTTGGAGACCTCAACGGTCAAGAGGCTAGCGTTCGAAGCTCAGACCTTCCTGGTGGCGTCTCTACGCCAAAGCATTGAACAGACTGACGATTCGGTTCCCAGGAAAATAGCCTTTGCAGAAAGAGCTTCAAGAATGCAGGCAATAAAGACGGCTTTGTTAGGTGTGAACATCTCTGGTGAGCTTGAGCCATCGCATTTGCTTCTGGACAAAGCTTGTTCCATGTATGAAAAGAACATCGTGGTGTACTTGGAGCCGAGCACATGTGTTAGCAGGACTTTGGAAGTCCAAGGTGCAAAGCAGAGTCGTGAATTGAGTTTGGAAAAGGGATCTTTGGTCCTTAGAAATCAAGACCAATTGACAAGTGCTACTGATAGTGAGATAAAGCTTCACAATGCCCTTGTCCGCCGTGGCATCGCTCTTCAGTTTGCGAAGTTGATGTCACACGCTCAACACACAGAATGGGCAACATTCCTGTTCGAGGCCCTGCATCGTGATGCACCGCCTGGATACAGCCGACCAAGTGTGGCACAACTACTACAATGTGACAGAGCGGCTTGGGCAAGATTAGGCAGTACGGTGAACAGCATCAGGCAGGACCAGCTTGGAGGTTATCCATTAGGTGATGCTCTTTTGGCTTTGAGATCAGACCCATACATTACATTGTATTTGGCACCTTTAGCAAGGCATGGGTCGACGCAGAGCGATTCCGGGCGTCGCAACACTGGACCCTATGAGTCAACATGGCATGATCGCAATACGAAAGGAAAAGGAAAGGGCAAGAAGGGTTCAGGCAAGGGTGGAAAGGGCAATCCGCCTATGCCGCGTGATCTTCATGGCAAATGGCACAAGACGCCAAAAGGAGAGCCGATTTGCTTTGGGTACAATACGACACAGGGCTGTCCAGAGAAGAACGTGAAAGCTGGTGAAAAGTGTCGAAGAGGGCTTCATGTATGCGCCGAGCCAAAATGCCAACAGGCTCACCCGCTGCATGAGCATGGACGGTGAGTTAGGATGACACTCGTCCCACGTGCCTGGCAAGGCATGCATGTGGGACAGTTGTGGATGCTGGAATTGTTTGCAGGTTCAGCAGTGCTTTGTTCGGTTGCTAAGCAACAAGGACTCTACAACAGCATTGCGGTCGACAAGACACAGAAGCACGGTTGTTTTTCTAGCATCATTAGGCTAGATTTGACGCGTGAAGCTGACAGTTCGCTTGTTGATGCTTGGCTTGATTCGGGGCTACTCATTTGGGTGCATCTAGCACCTGTGTGCGGTACTGCGAGCCGTGCACGGGACATTCAGGTGTCAGCCAATGATCCGCCTCCCCTGCGCAGTAATGAACATCCGAATGGTTTCCCGGACTTGACCGGACGTGATTTGCTCAGGGTCACCATAGCAAACAAGTTGTTTTCTTTTGCATGCCGCATCTTCGCTGAGGCCACGAAACGTGGAATTTTGGCAACGATGGAGAACCCAAAGAATTCATATTTTTGGTGCACCACATATTTCTTGCAATTGTGGAAGACTGTTGAACTTTATTGTGCTGATTTTCAAGTGTGCATGTATGGTGGTTCCAGAGACAAGTGGACAAGATTCATTGCAAACTTCCCTGAAGTGACTGAGTTGTCAATTGAGTGCGACAGGAAGCACTCTCACGCACCCTGGAGGTTTGCTCATGATCATGAAGGAAAGCGTGTCTGGGCAACCAGCCTAGAGAGCCAGTACACTCGTCCCTTGTGTCTGGCTACAGTTCAAGTGATCTTGCAGAAAGCTGCTTCCCAAGGACTGCACTTGTTGCCCCAGACCTTGAATGATATCCGAAAGCATCCGTTGTTGCATGCACAGCAGGCTCAAATTAGCGTTGGTCTGCAGCCATTTCGAAAGAAAATACCGCCTTTGGTTCCAGATTTCGATGCAGTGGTTATCGCGGTCCTTCAGGATAAGTCCCAAGTCCCAGTCCCTGTTCTCGGCAAGGTTCAAACTGATTTGCACCTCATGTCCGTTGAGCTTCAACCTCTTTTCATCCCCAAATATGCACGGTTGCTTCGCCTTTTTGCTGCCTCCGATTCTTTGAAAGGGGGGATCGAGGAATCTGAGACAGCTAAAAAATCTGAAACTGGTGCCGATCTTAGTTCCTACCCTTTTCGAGCTGTTTTTGGCTTGCCGTGGGAGCCGGAAAAGTTCATCAAAAAGGCTGTGACAGCTGGTCATCCAGCCTTGACCGACATGAGCATTCCGGAAGATCTTCAAATTGCCATTGACAGAAATTTGGCTTGGAATGATGAGCAGATGTCCAAATATAGATCGGATTGGACGAAGCACTGGTTGAAGAGGGCAAAAGAACTTGATGCTGCGGAAAGCCTGGACAGGGCGTCCAGGCCTGAACATGTTAGGCACAGCACCTTGTCGAAGCGCTTGCTGCTGACGGATGAGATTTTGGATAGTATACAATATGAAGACAAAGCTGCATTAAACATTCTGCGTGAGGGCTCCACTTTGGCGGGCCGCATTGAGAGTTGTTGCATTTTTGAACAACAGTTCAAACCGTGCTTGATGACCCTCGATCAATTGGAAGGTGGGGCAAAGCGCAGGAATCAGGCCATTCTTGCGATGACTTGTAGCTGCGGTGATGAAGCTTTGGATCAGCAAGTATTGGCTGAGACTAGGGCTGAGCTTGAAAAGCAATGGGCTAGGGGACCTTTTGAACTGGATGCCCTACCAGATGGGGCAGTCATTTCTCGCAGGTTCCCGCTTGTGCAATCAAACAAAGTTCGAATGATCGATGATTTTTCCATCAGTGGCATCAATGATTCGTGCACGATTCATTCCAAAATTGACTTGCACATGATCGACACGCTGGGAGCGGTCATTCGAAGATATTTTCAAGCTGGCAGTGCGAAGGAGCGCGACAGCCGGCTTATGGCCAAGACCTTTGATCTCAAGAGTGCCTACAGACAGGTGCCCACACAGAGCCAGCACCTAAAGTATGCCTTTTTCAGCATCTACAACTGTGAAGAGGGGAAACCCGAGATCTACCAACTGCTGACCCTGCCTTTTGGGGCCACGCACTCGGTTTATTCCTTCCTTCGACTGGCGAGACTCATTCACAGTATTGCTGCTCGAGGTTTGTATGTCCTCAACACGAACTTTTACGACGATTTCGTGTTGTTATCCAAACCTGAGAGTTGCAAGTCAGCAAACCTGGCTATGGAGGTCTTGTTTATGCTGACTGGTTGGGAATTTGCTCGTGATGGAAAGAAGGCAACACTTTTTGAGACCACCTGCAAGGCACTTGGAGTGGAATTTAATTTGAGCAGATCAGAGCAAAGGATTGTCCAAATCTACAACACCGAGCAGAGAAGGCTTGATCTTGTTTCTAGGATCTCTGAGGTTTTGCTTGATGGACAGCTGTCAAAACATGAGACACTCGTGCTGAAGGGGCGCTTGGGCTTTGCTGACAGCTTCCTACATGGCAGGCTTGGAAAGATACTCCTAAAGAAGCTGCTTGAGCATGCCTACTCGCGCCAGAGGACTTTGGACGAGAGCACCAAACATGCTCTACTGGCCATGAAGACAAGGCTTGAAGCAGGACACCCTGTCCAGATCTCGGACCAGGAACTCCTGCAGTGGTTCATCTACACCGATGCTGCATACAACATGGAAGAGAAAACTGGTGGCGTAGGTGGAGTTTTGGTTGACCAATCTGGAACCTGTATACAATGGTTTGGTTTTCCTCTCGATGAAGAAATGTGCAAGACGTTCGGTTGCCAAACAAAACAGTCAATTATTTATGAGCTTGAGTTGGTAGCTGCAGTACATGCTCTTTCTTATTGGGGTGACCATCTGGCGGGCAACCTGACCACATGGTTCGGAGACAATGACAGTGTGAGATATGCGTTAATTAGAGGAACTGCCATCGGGCCTTGCGGTGAAGTGATCATGAAGTTTCATCTTGAGAAGGAAGCAAGCATGCACTCATGTGCTTGGTTTGCTCGAGTCCCGACTGAGGCAAACATTGCTGACTTCCCTTCGAGGCTTTCTGAACATCCGCTCCTCGTCCCAAAAGCAGATGTCTCCGAGAGTGCACGCCTTTGCTTTCAG